CAACCATATGGTTGGCGCTACACTGAAAAAGTGGGCATATCAGTGTTTCTCATCGACGGCGCATTGTGCACACATGTATAGGGCACAGCAAGCTACAAAACAGCCGTTTCAGCGTTTCCACTGAATAGGCACATTACGTACTACCTTCTGGTGTGCGCTACATTGAAGTAGTTAATTATATTGGCGTTTCCTATCATAGCGTATTGTGCTTACTCGTTCACAGGGCGTAGATAGCAACAGAATTAGCCATTTTCGTGTTTCCAGCGAACGCTCAATAGTGTGCACAATCGATAACCGCCATGCTTTCGGTACAGAAAAGGCTATATTGCTGTTTCCCATTGAGGCGTTATTATGCACAGTGCATTGGAGGACTAGTGAGAAAACATGGCAGTATTTTCACGGTTCAAAAGGGATTTTTTAACGGTCGCAATCCTGGATTAAGTTTGTAACTGAATTTTTAACTTTTCGGACGACACTGACAAAAGTGAAAGAACATTGAAAGTTTGAGAGATGCCAGGAAAACCCTTCTTTTTGTTTAAATTAAATCACACATAATAATAATCATTCATTCATTTATAAAGCACAAATTTCATACAGATGTTCAAATGCGCTGTAATAATGAAGGCGTGATCGAGCCAATGGCATACAACGGCGCTTCAGGCAGCTGCCAAACGACCCAATCAGACGCAGTTACACTTTTAGAAGTGGGAGAAAAACCCTAGACTAGAGAAGAAATTTCTGGGTAAAACCATAGACAGTGGCTATCCAGCGGGGGAGGTGGCAGAAGAGGAAACTTGGGGCCCCCCTAAGATTTTTTTTAATACAAAGAATACCTAATATACGGTGAGTAAAATAAGGCTTTTGATTTTTCTATTCCCAACATCATGTTGAATGAGCGTGAAGCTGCATTTGATTTTAAATTTGCCCCCCCCCCTCACACACCCACACCAAACGCTGGATATGCCGCTGACCACAGAGCCTTATTATATTATACAGCTCTAGGCCTATGGGTAAAACAAACCCACGGAACCAGGTAGTGACTAAAAACCTAATCCACCTGTGAACCGAGCCGGGAATCAGACCCTGGGCAGCAGAGGTGATCAAGGCGAAGAAAGAACTACTTGGCCAATCCGACTCACCCAAAATAAATAAGATTGTTACAGAGTAATATTATTGATTATGATAAGACGACTAAAATTACGATCGAGAAAATAAGATTACAGTAATAACAAAAAGTTTATAACTCATATGTTAAATTCAACTTCCTTCTGTCTTATTTTGACTGCTTTATGTTAAAACATAAAGTTTAATTCCTGATTCCTCCATTTTTCTGTGTATTTCCAAGACACCTCTGCTCTGGTACCAGTACCAAATTACCCTTTGCAAGTTCCCTATGCAAGAATTCTCTTCTGTTTTTAGTTCTAATTTTTTGGGGGAGACCAAGCAAGTGGCACAGTCCCCTTAAAAATTTGTGATAACAAATAAAATAGTATATTACAAGTACAGAAATTCGGACCCCCTTCCACTGTGATATAAATTAATTCTTCTTGCCCCTTCTACGGAAAGAAACCTGGCAACCTCACTGAGCCTGTTCTCAATAATAAATACATACATTTTAAGTGTAGCCTAGGAAATCGAACTCAAATGCCTCTGACATTAATTTTTCATTTTAATTTCTTTTGAGATCAGATAGAAAGATTCTATCACAAAAACGGTATCAAAAAACCGCAAAGAGCGAGAATAAAAATCCTGAAGGTTCGGCTCGTGAAAAAGTTCTAATATTGGAAAAATGTTTTGGGGCGGATTCTAACCCCGGCTGTATAGGGCCTGGAAAGCAGAGTGATAGTTGTTCACTTCTCGAGATCTAAGAATCCTTCCTGTAAAGTCGTTAATTAGGTTGGTTTTGATAGAACTGGGAGGCTTGTAACTACAGCAGATTGGCAAGAAACGTTGCAAGAACAATTTGCATTGGTGGGATCAGGTTTTCTTTTTCATTATCAACTGCCCGTGGACTGTTTGTTGTCCATGCACCTGCGAGGGTGGTCGTGCTACCCGATATTTTACTTTCGCAATCAAAATAAGTCTTTTTTATGAAAAAAAAAAACCCACCAGAAGAGAGATGCTGCTCTCTTCCCGACAGCTCTCAGTTCCATCTTATTTCTTCCACTGAGCATCTATTTTCCTCCAGCATAGGATCGGGACTGAGTCAGGGGCGAGTCAGAAGCCAGTCCGGATACGTCGGGTACGGTCATGAATAATGCAGCATGTACTTGTACGTCATGCGCGGACAATGGTATTTACATTAGTGTGTTTATAATGCATGATACATGTAAGCTCCATGCTTTATGTCGTACGCGTACGTGTACCATAGCTTGCGTAAACAGATGCCCCACAGACCGAAGAATGAAGCATGGTAAAGGGCTCTTTTTGTGGCTGTTTGTGGGATTGTGGACCTGCAAGAATGTACATGTACAAGGGTTCCTCCAAGGCCAAGGTAAGATCATGGAAGATCAAATTTAATTGATTTTGTTCCTAGCTTTATGCTCTCTAACCATTGAGGAAGGACACAGAAGGAGTTGCAACTCAGGCCCTTCAAACTGTTCAATGATGGTCGCCGCCGAGTCAGACGAATAATATTAAAAGAGAACATTCCAAAAATGCCTGATTACTGTCTGCATCTTAGCCGGACAAGTGGGGCTAGTAATATCCTAGCAATACGTGTAGTTTTCTGCTCACAATTAAATACAAATTACCATCAATGTGACCAGGAAATACTTTTGCCATTGTAAAAACACATTTTTAATTTTGATACACTGTTCCATTATCCATTCAAAGCTTGTAATTTTATTCTCCTCTGTCCAATACATCAGTGTTCAAAGACTTATACAAATTTGGCTAAGACTGGCCAACAAAACGTT